AGTGGATGGAACCGGAATGAACCGGTTTTGTTTCTACGAAGAGCACCTGACATATCTTTTGTTGATTTACTTCTAAATATGAGCTAAACTGAAACACATTAAACTGTTCTGAAATGAGTTTGCTGTTGCTAAATTGATGTGGTCTTACATTTTGTGTCAACTTCTAACACCGACAAGAAAAAGAACAGAGACCACGGAAAAGGGAAAAACTTTGTATATGGGCTCTATTGTGACGGAATCGTAGGACTTTTATTTTGTAGGATTTACTGCAGCCGATGCAAAACCTGTGTGAGCTTTTTCTGTGACGTATACATTGTTTTGATTTTGATGTGCTGATCATGTTAGATAAAGAGAAGAAAATGATTAAGGTTTCCAAAATGACTCCATCAGGAGTTATCTTTACAACACGTGAGCTAAGTGAACGTCCGATGATAAAGTCAGTCGTACTTTTCGTAAAACAAAGCGTTCTACAAACGTTGGAAGCAGAAAGGCAGACGTCAAGCCTTAGAAACATTCCCAAAATATCAAAATGATATAAAGAGTCTTGTATCATCAGGTAAAATGAGTAAATACTGATAAACAATTTGTAAATAAAAGTGATTGAAATCAATTATACAGAATGAGGAACTGTAGAAACTCAACTGTGTAGACTAGACTAGCAACGAACCCCAGCGTAAAAGGCAAAATGATTAAATAAACACAAAAGTTAAGATTGTACATAGTAACATTAAGTAACAACAACATATATAATGGTAGAGAACATAAATCAGTACTTGCTATGATTATTTACCACTTAAAACGCCCTAAAATAATAAAAATGTAATGAAATTTGCTAAATTTTGAAATCAAATAATACATCATAATGGATAAAGAATAGCTATAAACTTCACCTGAAGTTAGGCTGAATTTTTTGAGCATATGTTATGTTTATATCTTAAGTAGCATTGCTTAAAATGACTATATTGATATTCTCGGGTGAAGGGACTCCTAGTGGACATTGCATTCCCTTATTCTATAGTTTCTATGTGTTGTGCGTTCCATGAAAGCTGAAGAAAGGTCATGCATCTTCATGTTTCTGTGATGTAAAAGGTGCTAGTGTATCAGGCTGTCACACTCAGACTGAGAGTCAGTCATGAGTGTGCACGGCGGTGGTTTGGTTTCGCAGCGGCGTGGGGTGAATTCAGAGGTGCCGAGACAGGCTCTGATTCCCGGTATCGCCGACTTCAAACCTCCCCTGTGATACCACAGTAAAACAGCGGCACTGTATTGTATCAGACCCCGAAACCGTGCTGAGTTATGTCTCACCTGTTAGATGAACACTTTGACATTTTTATCAAATGTGTAGGATTATTAAAGTTTTTTTTTTTTTTTTGGGTCGTGATGAGGATAATTTTTTAAGAAGAGGAATATATCTTTACTGACATTTTTACTGTGTTGAAATGCCTTATTTCATTAAGTGCAATATTTTTTGTCTGTTTCCAGTAAAATTAGGTAAGGTTAAAAATTTATATTTGAAAAGTCTTCCATTTTCACAACCCTCGAAATGTAAACCTTATCTAATGTCATTATATATATATATATATATATATATATATATATATATATATATATATATATATAGCTTTATTAATAACATTTCATTAGGTGTTTCAGTCTTATAATCACTTGCTTCTTGTACTACTGAACTTTCACGTACCTTTAAATCTTGAAAAATGTACTTTCAAGATTTAAATCTAAACTATTCTTGCTAATTGAACAAGAAAAAAGATTAAACCTAAATTTAAGTGGTTTTTCCATTGATTTAACAAGCACTTGTTGCCAGTAATACTTATGTGCAGTTTCAAAGTATTTGCTTTTGTAAAATCAAACATTAAGCAAATGTTTTATTTGTTTTTGTTAAGAAATGTATTTTAACATTAAGTTGTAATGGTTTCTGCAAGGATGATTAACATACACTACAGTTGATGTTGTGGTTTTATGATACTGTATTACAGTAATAAGCTAACCACTAATCAGGGCTTTACTCTTTAAGATATGTTTAATATAAGACTATTTTCCCAGGAGTCATCAATGCACAGTTTTGTCGAGTTTCCTTCAGAAAGAACACGAACGTTGTTGCTTGCTGATGTACAGAGAAAACCACAAACGCTGCGCTCAAAGATGCTGTACTGTGGTGGTTACGTTAGCTATCAGTGTGACCGAAAAAACAAAATCAACGCTTTAGACAAACACGTCAGTCGTACGGCTAATTTACTGAAAATAAAAGTATTTGGTTGTTTATCTAAAGTAAGTGAACTAGACTCTTTCTCAGATATTCGTCTTTAAGTCTGAGGCAGGTTTACAGATGTAACTTGATATTTACGTACAAATAACATTGTGCTCTCAATGTTATTTGACATTAATGTCTTTCCCTCACTGAAAGACGTTAAATTTCCTGTTTTAGGTCAGTAATGATGACCAAATTTATTTCTATTTACTAAATGCCACAATAATGAAAGAGAGTTCTTATTTTTAATTCTGATCCAGATGTTTACATGCATTTTCTTAGTATTTGGTAAGATAAGCTTTTAAACTGTATGATATTTTGGGTTTTGTCCATTGGCTTCTTACAGCAGTTTGCTGGAAATTTGGCCCATTCCTCCTGTCGTTGAATCAGTGTAGTAAGCCCTGCTTGGACACTTTTTCAGATGTGCCGTCATATTTTCTATGTGATTCCAGATTGGTCCTTTGTAATGGCTGATCCAAGACATTACAAACAGCCACTGTAATGTAGCTGTACACTTATGGTCATTATCCATTTGGAAGACCAATTTGTCCAACTTTTGGGTCGATGCCTTGATGTTGCTTCATCTATTTTTTGAAAATGCACCAGTTCTTTCTCCTTTAACTTAATGCTGCTATAAAGTCTTTATTTCCTTTAAAGTCTTTATACATGATTGTAATTGTTTGAGCCGATGAACGTAGACAAAGTTGTACCCAATGATGAACCAGACTAGTTGAGGTCAATGGTTCTCTTCTTAATATCTTGACGTATTTTTTCCCTAAATCATCACTTGAATAAGCAGTGTTTAAGGTGTTTCCTTCAGAAGTTTCAAACCTGAATTTGAAGAGAAAAATAACATTAAATCTCGTCATTCTGGGATTTAGCTAAAAGAAATAACTTTGGTCATCCTTACTGACCTAAAGTAGGAAAAATGATGTGTGATTTAATGTCAGAGTTAAGAAGAAAAAGTTTAAACGTTTATACAGTGCAGGTTAAAACCTGGTTGCAACTGTTTATATTTGTTTGATATATTGGTAAATGGTGATGTATTGGTGACCATCTACTCTATTTTTGTTGCGCATTATTCATTTTGTTTTATTTTTATTTCCTAGTTTTGCACCTAAAGTGCTCTTCGTGCAGCACGGAACAATTTTCACTTGAATAAATAAAGAGTGTCTAATTCAGACCTTTAAATGTATAGTGAGTGACTCAGGATTTTCATTCAGATTTTTTTTAATAAATGTAGTTTTGTTTCAGCTAACATTGTTAAACTAAAGCCGCACACATCAGTAGTTGCTCCAAGGACCATTGCCATCACTGCAGTCAAATTAGCTGCTAATTAATGATTTTTTATTATTTAAAATGCTTTGACTTTAATGCTATCATTTCCATGGAGTCACGAAAACAGTTTTGTTTCTTAAAAAAATAAATTAAAAACAACGATGGCCGATGAAAGGAGAAAGCGGCGATGCATTTTGTCAAAATGCAGCACAGTGATGGTATCAGCGGCCGTGAACCTTTTGTTCTCGGCTAATCTGTTAGATAAAAACAGTGGTACAAATAATTTGATAAATCTTTGAGTTGTCATTTCTGTTCAAAATGAAATAAACTGGACTCTATAAATATATATATTAAAAAAAAGATGGAGTTTGTTTATAGTTATATAAAACTAAATTTAAGGCTAATGATAAACTAGAATTTTAGCATCTAGTCAGAAACTTTAATGTGAAAAGAAAACTACAGTGGCTTTAGTATAAATAGGACATTGGTATTGTAGCCTTTGTTCAAAGCAATTGTTAGGTACATAAAGTATGTTCAAAATAAAATGACCTACTCTATAAACATATATAGCAAGACTTGATAACACAATTTTAATTTAAGAGAAGTATTTGTAGTAAAAACTGGAACATTTTCCTTTTAATACACACTGGTTTAAATATTAATTCAATGTCATTACAAAGTGTTAAGTATATAAATAAAATATTTGGGGATTAATTCTGATGCGTCACCAAGACACAGTAAAGTTTATATATGTACACATACACACAATGTCTATGCTGGCCGACAAATGAGGAAAACCAAAGGCTTTTTTTTTTTTTTTACCCAAAGGTGCAGCACCGATAGCAATGCAGTCCTTGTTCGTTTTATCGTTCTCCAAAGTTCAATACTTCAAAATTGTATAGATTTTTACCAAACTAAATGGTTTGCTTCACCTCATGTAATTTTTTTTGTCCAAAAAGAGACCCTACATTTCTAAAGATTAAACGTGACCAAGTCATCACAAGCTCTCACTTACAGATGTAGTTTTGACTGAGTTCAGGTCCTGTAATTTCTGAATTCATGTGGTTTATTCAGAGTTGATGTCAGCCATAACGCTTACTGAAACCTCCGGTCATTTAAATTTCCACCCGTTTTATGGTCATAGCAAAGCAGAATTAGTCAAACTTACCCAAATTTGAAGTAGTTTTACATAAATCATTTTAGAGCCGCTGCCAGGTGTTTCAGACACTTAAACGCTATAGAAAGTGAGCTACACTTGTATCAGTGTAGTAAAATATGCACCAAGATAACCTCTAAATCTTATGTTGGTGAGAATGAAGACACACTTCCCCTCAACATCTGTGACACAGTTTCACACACCTGTATAAGCTGAAAAACATTTTGATATTATCTTTGGCTTAGATAAAAAGACAACTTTCATAACTGGTGTTGCAAAAAACAAAAAGCGTACACAAGAGTCAGCACAGACCAGTTTACTAATTTCTTTAACTTTGTTTCCACAAGCTTCAGTTACATGTGTCTGAATCCAAAAATAAAGAGCTGGAACATTCACTAAAACACTGGTTTAAAAACAAAAACATAAGGAATGCTAAAAAAAAAAAAAACAAAAAAAAAAAAAGATGGAATGTCTGAACAAAAAAAGTCAACATTAAAAAGCATTTTGTTTTTGAACAAAATACATTTTTTTAAAAAAGCTGAATCTGGCCACTGCTTTCCCCCAAACACATCCTGACCAAACTAATGATCTGTTATGGTAACAAAATACAAATCCTGAATTTTTATAATGTTTCATCCAACTCCTAAGATTCAACACTGCTGACTTGAGCTTCTACAAAATAAATCTGATCTGCAGACAACTTTGTTGTAGGTTTGGCGCCATCTTCAGCCTGTGAAGGGGAACTGCAGGATCACTGCTTTTTCAGGTCCAAGAGTGAATTTCTCCAAGCTGACGGACGACTCAGCTGCCAGATTTTCATCTGATGATATCTTCACTTTGGCTGTGTCTGGCAAAGTTACACCTTCTGCAGGAGTAAAAAAAAAACGAACAAAGAAAAAAAGTTTAATACAACTAATATTAAACTGTAAGAAAAAAAAAAAAAAAGATTCTGACTTTGATCTCAAATAAGTCGGAATTTTGAGGGGGAAAAGTCAAAAATTTTGACTGATCGGAAAAAAAGAAAATCACGATTTTTTTCCCCCCCCTAGTTGCTCCAATCCTCTTCACTACAATTTACATGACTGGTTTTCTGCATAACATTTGACCACCAGCTCACCTGTAGGAGGAAGTGTAAGTTTTAGTTCTGCTGGTTTCGCTCCCCAGTTAACTGCAGTTATGTATCTTTCGCTCTGGTCCCACACACGAAGGAAGGCGAGGGATGTGTCAGAGGAGCCGAGTGGATAATAGTCGCCGTGAAGCAGCGAGCGCTCCTTGCCTCGGAGGTCACTGAGGATTTTGAACCGCGACCAGCTGTCCGACTGGTTAGCCTGCATACCAGAGATGCAAGGATGTTAAAACAAGTAGCTGCTAGACTGCAAATTAAGGTTCCTTTAAAAAAAAAAAAAAAAGTCATAACTGACTGAACACTTACATCCATTTTCCAAACCATCTTGGGCCATCCAGAACCCTGAAAAGTGGAAGGTTTTGTGAGTATGAAAATTAATTCTGAGTTTTCATGTTGAAGTCCAAGATTTGATGCATTTCATAAATGGCAAGAAAAGTTTTCAGACAAAACGCAGATTAGTGATCAGAGTCAATTAGAGGAAAGTTGTTTGAACATTTCAACACAGTCAGGTTGGGGCTTACATTTCCTTGAAGGCCAATTTCGTCTCCGTAGGTAAACACCGGTATTCCAGGCAAAGTGAAGAGCAGCAGCTGGTAGAGATGCTGCAGGTCTGAGGACGTTGCCACTTTAGACAGAGGCTCCAGTTTACTGGCACCGAGACCCCAGCCCACACTGCTCTTCTCTAACTGGAGGACGTTCACAGCTTTGATGCGCTCCATGCCTGCAAATCCACAGGGGGGGCGGGGGGGACAAAATGCATCAAAACTCCAAACAAACAAACAGGAGGGAAACAGTTCTTAGCTCAGACAGGCTAAACCCACCGTTGTCACTGGAGCTGAGAAGGTTGGGCAGAATAATATCCACACCAGTGGTGTTGATCAGGTGGGCCACCTCTTCTGCTGAAGCCCCTTCTACTGCACCCATCAGCGCACTGAGGGGGAAGAATGCTACGTCAGTCACTAAACACGGAAAAATCAAGGCAGAGCTGTCCACTGTAGCTGCACCACCACAAATAAATTAGGCCTAAGCAATAAATTAATTCCATGAGCTCAATTTCCATTTGAGAGATTTATGGTTTTTCTCTCTACCAAGAACTGGAAATCAAGAGTTTTCAGTCTGGTGTTTTAGTCTCAACTGAAGAACAATTTTAATTAGAGACTTCATTTTTATTTTACATTTCTGTTTTGTTTGTTTATTTAAAATGTCTTCCAGTTCCAGTGTTAATCGTTCATGACAATTTACCATTGCCATCATATAACTTGAAAAATGGTTTCAAAACAATATTACAGTTTATCGCAATGACTTCTGGGACAGTTTATCATCCAACAAAATTTGTTTTCATGACGGGCTGCAACAATTCATCGAATGAATCAAGGACCTACATTTTTAACATTTCTCAAGGCAAAATGTCTCCCTTGAAGCTTTGTGAAGTTATGCTTTAGTATTTAGCCCACTGTTGATTATTTGTGTTGCGCAACACTTCTGCCACAAATGACAAATGTTTAGGGGGAGACAGGAAGGCACAGAAAGAAACACCAAATAATTAAAAAACAAAAACAGGTGGCTGCTAATAGGGGATGTTTTTGTTGCCTTTGTAAGATTAGTTTTTATCCGATTGTTAGTGCAGAATCTGTACAAGGAAATGAGAGTCAAAAACTTAGAATAAACTTGAATCAAATTTAAAGACTTGAAAATTCAGGATGCATTTCAGGTTTAAAATGAGGCCTAGAGACGGTCTGTTTAACATGCGATTTTAAAAGGTCATGATAAAACCTCACCACCAGGGGTCACTCTACCATGACACAAAAAGAAAAAAAGACACTTCTCCACTTAATACCTCACACTGGAATGTCTTTGCAACAAATCAGCTGATATTTTTGAGAGCTTTGAGGTCAAATTCATGAAAAAAAATAACCAATCAGACCGACAAATTAATCTAATTTCTCTCCCCCAAATCTAGTTTCTCAGAGGTCAGAAAACGGATTCAGTCACCTCACTTTGCCGACAGTCCTGTTGACCTGGACGTCAGTTCTCAGTGTTTGCCACTCGTTGAAGCCAGAGGCAAACTTTAGGTCTGACACCTTGATGCCATCAACACCCAGGTTTATCCAGTGCTCTGCTGCCTCCTGGAAGAGAGCAGGAGCGCATCAGGTTGGTACAGAGCCGCTGAAGAAAGCGCGTGAAATTCAGACAAACGTGAACACTGGCTCACCCTGACTTTCTCCACCATCTCATTGTCTTTGGCAGAAAACCATGGATTAGCTCCCTCGTAGTTTGGAGTCAGGTCAACAATCACAGAAATGCCTTAAAAAAGAAACAGGAAAGCGCCAAACTAAATAAAAGTCACTGCACAGTTTTAATTTTTAACCTTTATGTGAATAAAATAGGCTACCTTTCTTTTTAGCCCTCTGCAGCACAGCCTCCAGCTCTTCCATCGTTCCATGGTCTGAGCGGATCTTTTTAAGATCCAGGGTGTTTGGCTGGTCCTTCTGGACGACGTGAAGAGGACCAAGAACCACACCTTTGACCTTCAACTGGTTCAGCTGGTCCAACTTCCCCTCAAGACCTGGCAGAGGACAAGAATACAGGCTCATAAAACAAATTGGCAGTTTGAATTTCACACAGAGTACAGACAACCTAGAACGGACGTGTGAAAACCACATTTCTCAAAGTTTGTACACTTTTCCCACAGTAAAATTCAGGCAGTTTGAAGACAAGTTTAAAAATTTTTTACACCACCACAGTTTTGAGGTTAAACAAACAAACAAAAGGCAGTTTCAATTTACCATTTCATGATATTACTACTGTAAATTAGATGTGGACAGGATGGCTGAAAAACGCATCACTATACAAGCATTTCACATCAGTTGATAGATAAATATTTTTGTTTTAAATAACTGAAATGGTGCCAAACTGGTGGCATGACATTTCCTGTTTTACCACAGTTTTCACTCTGCATCGTTTTTTTTTTTTTACTTTTAAGCAGTTATGTGGAGCAAACCGCTGCATCAGTTACTCAGCAGGTCGTTGCCAGGTAACCACAAGTTACTCAGCAGATCGTTGCTAGGTAACCAGAGAGCTAGTCAATGCCACCAATCTTGTTTAGCTTGCTGAGAGGCGAAGGTTTTTCCTCTGCTTATATCCCCCATAATACCACACATTTTCTTTCAGGCACTTTATTGATATTGATCACATCTATTGCAATACATATTGTGATTTATTGCTAATAAAATAAATCATTACATTTTGGAAATGTATCTTTCACACTCCTGACTGGTCCAACAACAAAACACTAATTTAATGACATGCCCTAATTTCAATAACCATCATAATTTTCCTTTGGGATCAATAGAGTATTTTTGAATTTGAAAACAAATAAGAATCTTTATTTCAGTTACAGTGCAGTTCAAGCACCAGAACAAACCATGATTTGTGGAGATCCGAAGGACACACGTTAGAACAAAAAAAAAAAAAAAAAAAAAGGGGGGAAAAAACCTGACCCAAGACAGGAGAGTGTGAACAACCACATCCACACCCTGTGCCAGCCATGTGAAGTCTGAGCACAAGCGGGGTCTCTATGCGAGAACAATAAAGTCACATGTGGTTTCTGGAATTCCTCCCAAAGCCGGCTGGAAACCAGAGTGTGTCCCCCACTAATTTGCAGCAAGTGCAGGACGTTCTGTCCTTTTGACCCGTCTCCAAAAAACATTGGAGCAGCTTGAAGCATTTTAATGAATTAAAAAAAAAAAGTTCAGTTAGTAGTTAAGGGTAACTCGGTACGACTTCAAATCTGAATGAGATATGAAAGAAGTGACTCAGTCGTGTTCTACGTCCCTTTGGCCTTTAGTCGCACAGTCCCAGCCAAGTCAGCAGTTTCTTATCCAACTAAGCAAAACTTTGTCACAAGACTACACTCATGTGAATCAGCTGGAACATTTAAGACAAGGGAGTTCAAAAAACGAAGGAAAAAATGAACTAAAAAGCAAATAACTTGGTCCAGTTTTAATTCTTAGGTACAAAATGAATTGTATTTAGTGTAGATCCAAATTTTAAAAAGTATTTAGTTTTTAAATTCTTTTAAAAAGAGCAATTTGTTACAGCCAAGGTAACAAATTGTTCTCTTTGTTCAACTGAACAATAAGTTTGTTCACTTGAGCAAATCATTCAGTTTTATTAAGATTTGTGTGACTTTCATTCAAAATGTTTGCAACAGTTAGCCAAATAAAATAAAAGTCGATTTGGGTTCAGAAAAGTCAGCTTTCAGTAAAATGTCTCTGGATAAACGAGGTTCTAGGGACTTGGGAGTAAAGAAACTTTGAGTGAATCTAACATTTTCCATTGTTAGAAAGTTATATTGGTCAATTACAAATAAAAAGTCTCCATTTGCATGAACCACCTGTGCAGTTGGGGGGGGGGTCACATAAAATCAGTACCCTTGATTTAAGGGGAAGTCTTGTTTTTGTGCAGAACATTAACAAAGTAATCAAAGCTAAAGATTTTTTCTAATCTCCAAAAACATTTTACCTTTCAGTCCATCAGAGAAAGCATGAAGGTCGGGGATCTGGTACAGAAGCCCTTCATTCCACCAGTGCATCTCAGGGATGGGTTTGCAGCGAGGAGCCTGGACGATGATCACTATGGCACCGGCCAGCATGCCGACCCAGCCCAACCAGAACAGAACCAGCAGCACACAGCGAGTTCGCACCCACCTACATGTTAAAACATGCATGCAAGGTTTGGGGAATGTTTAAATAATAGCCTACAGATGCAGATAGATAATGACCAAGTTGTATTTTGTTGGCCCTTACCCCGGGGTGCCAGCCACCTTCATCAGCTCCTCCTTGGAGAGGCCGGTGAACGTTACATCCTCGTCAGGGATCTTCAGCTTCACGCTGCCGTTCTTCTCTCCAGCAGGAGAGGGATGGTCTCCGGCCATAGGCTGCTTCTCTTGGTCCACCGTGTTCAGCTTCACCTCCTCCAAGTCGATCTCGGTGTCCTTACTCATGGTTGGATCTGATTTACGATCAAATAATGAGGGGAAAGGGCCTGTCAAGTTGATTTATGGTCTCCTCTACAGCGTTTGATAAGGTGCAACTGAATATTTGATTCGAATCAGCTCCAATTTACTCAGGTTTCATATTAAAAAGCAAACTGCAGGACAGGGGAGTAAAGTAAATGTTGATAAAGGCTACTAAATTGTATAAAGAACTGCAAATTAGACGAAAAGGATATTTTAATCTACATCAAAAGTATTTAAATCTTAAAATGTCACTATAAAGTCATAAAAAAGTAAATAAATGTCAGTAGTTCTACATAACATGACATAAAATTAAGGTTTTCGTATATAGATCGAAGTTGCAATTATATTAATCTTAATGTGATTTTAAAATTCTGATCTACATCAATGGAGATTTTTTTTTTAAATTTTTGTAGATTTGGACCGCCGTTCATTTGCTAAAGATTATAATCCCATTTCCGCGTTCAACAGTTGAATGATGAAATTTACTCTCTCAGTTGCAGACTAAGCCGAAATTGTAAAACTTCACAATAAAAGAGCCAGGGTTTTTTTTTATTTAAAAAATCTAAATAAAATTCTAAAACGCCACAATACGATACCTCCTTTATCTAGAGAATGAAAACAATATCAATTCTCGCAACTCCTCATGAGCGTTGTAGTCTAAAATAGTCAACCTAAAACCTCGAGCGTCTTAATTTGTTGAACCGGAAGTGGCTCTAACCGGCATTTGATAGGTTTATTCACTTTAATCGCTTCTGAACTACAAATACAGATTGACGGAGGGGGTCGGGGGAAGCGAAAACCACTTCATGATTTATATTGATAACTCAAAGTAGAAATGAGAAATTAGACCAAGAAAAAAATAAAGTTGTAATACTCCAGCTTTTCTTCTTGGAGGATAAAATCCACCTACGTCAGGCGCCAGTCCACGTGTTAAAACCTTCCATTTCCTCTCGAGACTCCGTGATATTATATCTGAAATGTAAGCCAACTACACAGTTCTCAGGGAAGAGAAAAATCCCACTAAATAAATTTAGGCTTACCTGTTGAAAGCAGTTAAATGTCCGTCGAGGTCTACTGACCCACTTTGAATGGGGTCTCCTCTGATCTCCGTTGAAAAGCCGGTTGGATTGTATTTGTAACCCAGTTTTAGCCCCGCCCACTGAGAAATCAACCAATCCGTTTGCTTCACTCTCTCTTCGGCCACGAGGACAAATATGGCATATTTTACTAAATAACTACATACAGATATAGTTATTTGCCTCTACGTCGTTGCAGTCAAATATAATGTGATAGTAGTAAGTTTTAAATCCTTACTGATGTTTCCACTTTTGAAAAAAGTAAAGAAAGTACAAAATGTACTTTTTGAGGATATGTTTAATCGAAATGTTCCTCAACTCTGAAATAGAGAAATCAGTTAAATTAGGCACATGATTGATTATATCATTAGTATAATTAGCCATGATGATTGATTTAGACGTCAAACCTTTGATCTTTAAATGATTGACCTGTCTGTTACTCAGAGGTCTAATTAAATCATCATGTCAAAGAAGAATCCAGTTTTGTGTAATTTATTAACCTTCTCTAGAAGATCAGTGAATAAAATAAGGTTCCAACCCTAACTTTAAAGCAGGATTACATATTTAGATGGCCAAGTTAAAGTCTAAACCTGAATGTAAAGGGGAATCCCTGACACACTGAGCAGAGATAGACAGGTAAAATGTAAATGTCTTGATGTGAAAATACTTGCATCTATAAAGTACTGTCTTAATTTGAATAAAGTAAAGGAGTAATAAGGAATACTCTTTATTGCTTGAATAAGAAGTATTCAAGCAAACGCACTTCAGTTGTCAGGTTGTATTTGTAAAAAATCTAGAAAACTATGTTTCAGTTTTTCTGTTTAATCCCAGTAAAAATCCATTGATTTCTTTGGGTACAAAACAAGTTCAATATTTGCAAGGCACTGATTGTATGTACAAATGGAGACTAGGAAATGCAACAGGGGATTCTTTCTTTTTACAGACGCTGTAGGCTTATGTAAACCTGCCATGTTCTCTGTTTAAAGTTTATTTTCCTGCCTCCTAACAATAGACGGGATTTACACAAAGACTTTTCTCGGTAAAGGCATAAAAACAGCTCTTTGATCTCAAATGTCTGCGTTTCACCTTGCTGTTTTGTTTTGGTGTGAACCCTTCTGTTTTAATTTGATCTGATTTTCGCTGATGACTGAAGCCATAATGTCGCCTGTATTACGTTATAGTTAATTTAAATGATCTGATCTGAAAAACAACATCCTCCTCCTGTGGCTGCTGCTGCTCTGACACATTTCCCAGCTGCTGCTGACCTTCACTGAACAACATAGTTCTCAGAAAAAACCTCCCAACAGTTTCATGCTCACAATCCTTTGGGGCCTCCAGTGCTATTTGCTTTGCTTACAGTTCAAGGTTGTTGCCTGAATATTTGGAGAGCTTCATTACCTGCAACAATCATGTTGAGCTAAACTTTTAACTCAACAATCATTTAAATTATTTCCATCAGGTGTGGGGTTTGCAGATGAGAAACAGGCATTATTTTGGCAGTTTCTGTATAACACAAGCTCGTTGTTGCTTCACACTGTGTATTTGATCTGTACCTAACCACTCAGGCTGTTATTTCTGAGTCAGTCTCTACAATTTAAAAACAAGTCAACAACTTTGTGAAGCCGCAAATAACGACAGGAACCAGCTTAGCTACTCTGCTCTCACGTGACCGCACCTCTGCATGTGAGCGCTTGCTCTGTTTATGTGTTTTTGTAGATTGAAATAATAAAAAAAAACACATCTTAGTGATGTTTGAAGAGTCTGATTTACCCCAGATTCTCTTCACTCTTTCACTGTAATATTATAGGTCACATAAATCAGAACTGACCCATATATTCACGAGGTGTAAAAATATAAAGTTGTACTCCAGCTTCTCATTCACCACAGTGTCAGTCTGTCTATTTAGGTCTTGGCCTAAAACCTGCACCTGTCTATTTTGGACACTGTGACACAGCAACTTTTAACCTTAGTTATTGGGCCAGACCTCGGAGAGTGTCTCACGATCCCATTGAGCTGCAGAAATGTAGGACTTGACCCAGGGCAAATGTCATTTGACCCGGAGCAAATGTCACAGCCACCCCCATTGCTTCCCAAAAGTTTACACACCCTTCTAATTTGTCCATCTTTGGTTGGTTTATTGGGATGATCTCTAATAGACCAACAGAAAGTAGTAGATTAAAAGAATAGTGGGAAAAAAATGATACATGGTTGTTAACAGTTTTTAAAAACAAACATTTGAAAAGGGTGAAATATGTTCAACCATCTTTACTCTGATGCCCTGATATAAAATCCATTGTAACTTGTGACTAATTTTTAGTGATTGGTGTGGTTCTACACAACACTTTGTCCACTTCCAGTGTAAAGTCGACCCACAACCGACCCGTACCACACCATTCCTGAACCTCCTTCAGTTGTAGGTCAATGGACAATGGTACAATGCGGTTAGGGTGGAGCTACTCCTGCCTCATATTACAGTCCATTGATAGGGGAACAGAAAAACGTCACTTCTCGCAACAAGCGCGAGACATACTACTGCGCCACGGCCGCTACGATTGTCGTCGGACTAGCATGATGCCACATCACCTGCCCAGTGAGTCCAATTGGCAGGGGAAATGTCCTGAATTTGATAAAATAAGCCCCTCTGAGGCGTCGTTTTTGTTTGGTTCTTCCCCAGATTTGTCTGCAGATCCTATAGTTCCTCCCCATTGTTTTGGAACCTCCTCAGAGATGGTACAAGCCGGGTGTTGCGTATAAGTGATTTGATTGGCAGAACCCTCATTCATTGGCTGTTCAGCATCAGTCAGACTGGGCAACTCATACCAAGAGATTTCAGAGAAACTAACCCGTTCACGTCCACATGGTGAAGAACACACAGCCAATGGCTAGAACTTGGCTAGAACCAAACCAGACATTATCTGGCTGGAGTGAGACTTGACACTCGAGAAAGGGATATAGTGTCACCAGTTCGAACCGCTCAGTGGAAATGAGGAAGATCTGCCTTCAGACATCAGCATAATGGTAAAAACCTCACTCATCTGTAAAAGCTTCAGAAGTTCAGAGGGAAAATAAATTAACATAAAGCATCATGAAGGCCAAAAAACCACCTACAAACCAATCACCTAATCAGCAGCAGACCAATAGTAACTCTGGAGGAGATGAAGAGATCACCAGCTCAGGTGAGAGTCTGTTGACAGGACAAACATTTAGTTGTGTGCTCTACAAATCTGACCTTTATGCAAACAAGAGAAGAAAAAAGCCGCTGTTTAAAAAAACGCTGGAAGAAGTCCAATTTATATTGAGTAACCAGACCGTTCATCCCGACAGAGAGACACAACGAAAGCATAACGCTTAGGGCATGCCTTTCTTTGGCAGGGACAGGGAAGCTGGTGGGACTTAGTGGGAAGAGTGCCTGGGCTAAATATAGGAAATTCCTGAAAGAAAACGTGTTGGAGTCTGCAGAAGATTTGAGACTGAGGTGGAGGTTCACCTTCCAGCAGGACAATGACCCTGATTATTCTTGTTAGTTTATTTGACAGGGACAATGCACAGAAACATAGAGCAGAACAAGTTTGTAACTTATGGGTGGCATAAAGAGCACAACTCCCCCCCTGGTTGGGCATTTCTATGCATTAAAGTACATACAATTTATAAATCAAAATACCATAAGAATACAGAAGAGTATTTCTGCCTATATATTTTGTGTTCAACCTTGCAACCTCCAAATCCATGAAAAAAAAAACTATATGTTAAAGTATGAACAAGTTAATAAATCAAGATACAATAAAAATACATTTATAAACAACCGTGCAACCTTCTAATTTATATACATGTCCTGGCACATCTTCACACTTTCAGCTAATATACTAAAAATTGTAAGTATAATACTAACTCACTAATAGATGCACTCCCACAACCAGAACTGCAATGGGGAAGCTAAAATCAAAGCATATCATGAGTTAGAATAAATCAGTCAAAGATTATAGTACAAAGGTACAAGCCACACTTTTCAGATTTAAAAGTATAGATGAAAAAACATGTTTTTTTTCCTTTCTCTTTATTATTATGCCAATAAAATTGTCTGACCAAATTTGTAAAAGTGCAAGGGGTATTTATCTTGACGTGTTAGAAGATGGAATGGACCCAAATGGAGAAGGCAAGAAAACATTGAGTTGAGTAAAAGATTTAATGACAAAAAAAAGTATAAAAAGGGCTAAAAACTAATAATGAACCACTGAATCCAAAGAACAAAACCCATAAATCCAAGGGAAGGATGGCAGGGAACAGACGAGAGAATCCGGCGAGGAGGGACTGAGAATGAAGCGCTTCAATACGGGGAGGTTGAATGCAGAACTAAAGACCTGGGCTGATGGGCTGATGGGCTGTAGGTGGGAGTGGGGACAGAAGGAGGCCGACTGAGGACAGGGAGAGAGAAAAAGTGGCACAGGGGGCGAGAGAAAGTACGAAGGGGAACAAGAAATAAATCTAACGCTAAAGAACAACTGAACTAAAGAAGCATAGTAAAACTAGAGTGACAAAGAATTACTAGAAACAAGAAACAGACATAATGAACTAGAATCACTAAGGAAGAACTGAAGTGGGAACAAGGCAGAGCTAAAAGAAAAAACTAAATAAAAAAATACAAAACCCTAAACCCCAGATCCTAGCAGTATTATCGCACTAGGTTCTCCAGACAGTCAGATACTTGTCGTCAACATCTCTGTGTTCACTTGCCGCTCCATCTGGTTCTCTTTTTATCTCTGTGTGACGCTCACGTGTTTGCAGAGTCAGGTTGTAACAGAGCTGCCTGATGTGAACACAGTGTGCTGTTGATCTGCAGCACATGCGACGAGAGATAAAGTACCTAACCGGATATTCTAACGTTTTCGCTCACTTTAGTCGTCTTTCCAGGCAGGAGTATAGTGAGCAGCAGGAAGCATGGTAGAAAAAACGAGGGGAAGAGAAATTTTGCCATGTCAGGGGAAGTATGACGGAGAGGAGGAGTCAGAGAAATAAGGGTAAAGGGCGTACAGTGAGAGCTGAAGGAAGGAGATGTAAACATGTTTATGAGCTGTGGAGGAAGCAAATATTAGTGATAACATAATACTGATCTATATATATATATGTGTGTGTGTGTGTGTGTGTGTGTGTTTCCACTAATGTTGTCTGAGCCCTGGACCCAAGAAAAGGAGCAAAGTTTATGCAGTCAGAGTTTTTCTCTGTTAGATGATGCAGTTCTTTCTGTTTGTGGCTAGAAAGGAGTTAAAGGTTATTAGCTTTGAGCTCAAAAATGCATCCAGGCTAGTAATTCCTGTTCTCTCCAGTTCAGCTGTCTTTGTACGATAAACAACACATCTGGTTCAGGGTCGGAGCTTCAACAAAGACAAAATATCCCACTGCTAAAAGAAATGAAAATGTGCAATCTGAATGTCAAAGTAAACAAAAGATAAAAATAAACATGAGAGAGTAAGCAGTGCTTCATTCCAGCTTTCAATGAAAGTGTTTAAGTTGGTTAAAAAGCACAAACAGGCAGAGATCCAGCCTCACAATAAATCCAGGTCTGATCCCCTGTGGGAGAGTTTATTTTGCGAGACGGCGTGAGCTCGATGGAAAAAAAAAAAAAGAAAAGAAAAGGCAGAGCGCAGCAAAACAAACCCGGACCAGTTCAGACCAGTCTGTCTGAGGATGCGTGTTTTTCATCTCATTGTTTCAGGATCCCAACATGTTCCCTCAGACACCCAACATGCAGATTTCAGGCTCTGAAACAATGAACGACTTCAGTCTCAGCACAGAACAGAGGCTCAGCTGTTTATTTTCTAAACTTGCTTCGCTTTCCTAGGAGTTTTGACCCATTTAACATCTAATCAATCCGTATTACTGTATATCTCTGATTTAAAATAAGATCAGGGTGTGAAGTGCTCAATAATTTAGTCCTGAACTTTGACTTGTATTGTGCAATTCTTGATGTATCACTGATATGATCTCCATCTTGTAGGTGTTTATTAACCCATAGAGTTGTGTAATCAAGGTCTTCATTACTTGAGAGATACGTGTTGGTTTGTTTGAATTAAATACACCAATAATCAGAGGTTGAAGCATTTTATTGTCACTGTTTGTTTGTGGTTGAGCTGTAATAAGAACCCAAATAACACAACTGTTTAAAGAGCAACTAAACCGCAAATACACAGGGGATTTTTTTTTTCAGATAAACTTCCTAAATTGGTTCTTAATGTTTCTGTGCAAATTAAGACATTTTCATGTAAATGTGTTTATTTGTACAACATTTAGCCTAAAGCTGACTCAGTGCTGCCCTCTTTGGGTTGAACAGTGGCTACTGCAGCTGAATTTTCTCATTGATTATAGGTACATCACAGCTGATACATCTGTTTGTTTTGTTTTCCAGCAATCTTGTATGCATTTGTTTTCAAAATAAAACATTAGGTCACCACATCTGTAGATTCCCTTTAAAAATACGAATATTTAAGAGGTAGGTATTCATACCTCTTAAACTTTTTCACATTTTATCACACTACAACCACAAACATTAATGCATTTTATTGGGATTTTATCTTGTTGGCCAACTCAAAGTAGATAATAACTGTGAAGTGCGAGGATGAGAATATGTGTCCTGAAAAGAGTGTTATGTATTTGTCTTTAAACCTTTAAAACTTGGTCAAAGTCCAGAGCAAAAGTCAATGTAGAATCAAAACCTAATTTAATATTACTGACCTGAAGCTGTTTTACAAAGAAGAATGAGCAGAACATGCATATGTTACTGCAGGTTAAAAGGATCCACTAAGTTTTGTTGATAAAATCCCACTAAACTACCTTGAAGTGTCACAAAGGTAAAAAAATAAAAAAGTTCAAGGGGCATGATTCCTTTTGTAAGACACAGTGTAAGACTGCTGTAACTGTAAATGGTTTACTCAGTATTCATGTGTTGAGCCTCCTTAAATCCTCCTAACTCCTTTGAGCTCCTCTTTGTGAAACTGCCCTGCAAACAATGGCTCCATGTTACGTAAGAAGCCCCTCACTGTGAATGTGGAGCAGCACACAACGGTGATGAAGCACTTTTCCCTCCCCCATCAACCCAACGTGCAGCAGAGTGGCGCAGCGGAAGCGTGCTGGGCCCATAACCCAGAGGTCGATGGATCGAAACCATCCTCTGCTATTTTCTGAAAGCTTGTGACGTTGGATCTGCATACGGAAGAATCGGCTCCGTCGCTTTTCACTTCTGTCCCTGGAGATTCAGTGATGCTAAACCGGGCAGATGGCTGGACAACTTTAGATTAAATATTTACCTCATTTGCGTCTGTTACACATTTTCCCTTCAATTTAACAGGCAATGAGAGCAGCAGCAGCAGTGATGAACACTGACCTTTGACTTGCAGTCTGCTGCAAACAAACGCTCATAAAAACGCTTTAATAATGAGGATATTTAAAAAAATTTTACAGGGTTAAATTCTGTAAAATATAAGCCTCCTATTTTTAGGGAAAAGACTGGAAATGATGGTAATAGGTGTTACATGACTGCATTGAAGTCATCTGTTGATCTCTTTGTATTGTGAAGTATCCTCAACATGTCTGTCTGGTTTTCTTGTTTCAGGTTCCTCCTATAGCATCTTTATATATGCTTGATCTTATTTCTATGTATAAGCAAGACTTATTGAAGTCAACTGAGGAAAATGTAAAAACAAAAGAAAGGTTTATTTCCAACCCCTATTTTCTTTCCGCTTTCACAATAGCTTTTTGTATAGCACCCCCTAGAGGATCTTAGCTCTCATTACTATATCTGAAGAGGTTTGAGGTGGAGCCATATGAAGGATTAGTTTTGTTAGTTTTAAATATCTATAACTACATATACTCATATAGTTTATTGAATTTTAATTTGGACTTGTTTAATCACAATTTCTATGTATAGTCACAAACTTGATCTTATTTCTTTTAATTTTTTTAAGAAAGCTGCTTCTAGTTAACTCTGCAATAAATAAATACCTCTTAACTCACATCTGCTTTCTAAGTGCCTCTCATTTGTAGATATTTTGCCTCCTTTAACACAATTTATCTGTGTTGTAGGCCTGTCTGGAACAACACACCCAATCGGAAGGCCTCAAAACCCTTTTCTAAAACTTGATTTTTACCACAAATAACCTCATAAAGTTTCGATATTTATTCTTTGAAGAAGGCCTGACTAAGACATGAGCATAATCACGCTAATTTTCTAAGGCAAACAATAAATTAAGTCAAAACGAAGCTCATTTGTCATGGGAGAGTGTATAAATAAAGTTATATCTGAAAAAGGTTTAATTTAGCTACGTCATACCAATGAAGCAGCTAAAATGGAAAAAGGACGACTATGCTTACGTCCACGTCCTCTTTTTATTTTTAGACAAAACCAAACAGCCAAACTAAACACATTTTACTAGTTGAATTAAACACAGTGGGTTTGTATATTCTCTATAAATTAGGGCGAATGTACGTTAGGTCCATTTCGAGCACATCGTGTTTTAAAGCTAGCCAAACTAAAAGGTCACCATTATTTGTAACACAATCTTAAGTGCTCTATATAAAGCACTTAATGAAAAAATATAAAGCACTTAAGTAAAAAAAAAAGAAGCTCTACTTAAAATTTAACGACTTGCTTTCATACGCACCGGTCGGTAAACTTGCCAGTCACAATATGGCCGACTCGCAGACAAATCGTTGCTACGGCAACAAAAGCGAAGCGGCGTCCACTATTCTATACGCAAGCACGCAATGAAGTACGTCACAAACCAGGAAATGTCCACAGAGATAAGTGACTGAAGAATCACAACAGAGCAACTCACCGCGGCTGTTTCCCGACGGTTCTATTTCGTGTTTCTGGTTTTAATTTATCTCTGGAAATGTCACGGAAACCCAAAGACGAATACTACCGGTTCTTCTCTGTTACCGACCCACGGAACCACGAGAAGGGGTACACGGAGTACAAAGTGACAGCCAGGGTAAGTTACAACTCTATAACCGTAGTGTTTCATTTATATAAAAAAAAAATCACTTGTGTTACTGAGGAGATGTTCATGTTCCGAAAATATTTCAGGTGCATTCCAATAAATTAGAATATTATTGAAAAGTTTATGAATTCCTTTCACTCCATTCACTAAGAGAAACACACTAAATAGATTAAATACGCCTCTAGTTTTGCTTATTATGATGATTTTCCACTTACAATTACATTTATGATTAGTATTGTAAATCAGACCAATAATAAAAAAAAAATTAATACTGGAATGTCAGCCAAATGAAAAGTATGTTCAATTTTCACCTAAAGGTTATTTTCAAACGGTTATTTTACTAGCAAATATTCAAATTCAGCGAGCTGAACCTGTACTTCTGTGTACAGATAAAATATTGTCGCTTTTCCTACACAAAACAAAAACAAGCATGCAAATGTAAAGCCAGAGAGCATGTCTAGATATAAACACAAATACACCCTGGGGGGATTTTATTTGAGGTTGAGATGCTCTGCTGGCGCTGGAGTGAAACGGGACATGTGATTCTGTTCATGTGCTCCAGCAGCCTTATGACCACTTTAATGCCTGTTCAAAAAGGATTTATGAAGCTCAGACGATCTCTGCAGACACAACAACATGCTCAAAACTCGGATTAGCTGGAACCAATCTATTTTAACTTCTCACCCTTGCAGTTTGTGTCCAAGCGTCACCCGGACGATGTGAAGGAGGTGGTGGTGTGGAAGAGGTTCTCCGAGCTGAAGAAGCTCCACGGAGAGCTGTCCTACACTCACAGGAACCTGTTCAGGAGGCAGGAGGAGTTTCCAGTGTTTCCACGTGCACAGGTTTTTGGTATGATGTGTAAAAGTTCCCTTCAGACCTAGTTTACTCATCTGGGTCTGAATGATGCTGCACCTCAGACAGGTTTGCATATCTGAGGTGTAGCATCAGATATCCAAACATAGAGTTCCAATAGAGTTCCTGTAGGAGCTGCTGCTTCACATGCTGGAACGTTGGAGTGTTTCTTTAGTAAATACTTGTGTACTTCATCACTTGCACCTCTCTCTTATTTCTGGGTTTATAATGTTTTATTTAATAGCTCTTTTTCCAGGGTTGGATGCTCTTACAACAGACAACGAAAACAATGTTTTGACACAAGAATTAGCTGCACAAGATTTTTTTTTTCCTGCAACACAGGTTCTCATTTCTCCTTAAAAGTTCAGTTATATAAATACTTCCCTCAGTCATGTTTGCTGCAATGATCCCTGTACCTTATCCACACACGTTTCAGAGGTGTAATTCTGGCTGGGTTTTTGGAGTCAGTTACCTGGTGGTTTCTGGTACAGACATGACTTTTAATCATAGTGCAGAAATTTTCATCAGAGGTTGAGGTTGGAGTTCTTCCAGAAACGAAATGTAAGACGGATTTATCTGATTTTTGAAGTGTGTTTAAGATTATTGTTCTGTTAGAAGACTAATTTGTGTCCAACTTATTTATTTGAAGTGAAACTGAGAAATTTACCAGCAGTCTTTTTTTTAGTTTATTGTTCCAGTTTGTCCAGAGCACCAGTAAAACCAGTGACAAACGGAGCATTTTTTTAAAACTTTCAGCGTCATAATCAGCTTTATCATCTTGTTGTGTTCATCCTAGGAAGGTTTGATGAAGCTGTGATTGAGGAGAGGAGGAAGGCAGCAGAGAGCATGCTTCTGTTCACTACCAGTATACCTGCACTATACAACAGCCCACAACTAAAGGACTTCTTCAGGGTGAGGACACAGAACAAGCAAATGTTAACTGCTCTCTGTTTCATCTCTGTCCTCTTGTTTCTTTTTGATTTATATACGTTGTTCTGTTTATTTTACAAATTAGAGCTGTTAGAATTACAATCTTAAAACGTAACAAGTCCATTGTTCTTCAAGTTAAAATTAATGACATTTCATACCGTGGTGGACTATTATATTCTGCAAATAATATACATAACGGTATATTTCCAGCATGTTTTCAAATAAGATTTATGAAAAGAGAAAGCATGTATAGTTTGAGAGGATTAGAGATATTTAGAAACAAAGTCTGAACTAAACATTATTTCTGTCTAAAGGAAACAAAGAGAGTAGATCAATTTTCACTTTTAAGAAAATGGTAAAATATCCTATCAAGGTGTAATGAAGTATTTGGTAAAGTGCTGTGTCATTACAAGGATACTATATGTTTTGTTCTGTCTTTATTAGCTCTACATATATGGATGGTTGATTGATGTTTAGTTACTTATGGTAAAACAAATTCACTTTTAAGAGAAAGGGTAATCTATATAAGACATTTTCAATTCAAAACGTTCATGTCAATATGTGACATGTTAGTTTAAACTGCAGAAGAATAAAATAAAAAATAAATGAATGAATGTTAGGGTGGTGAAGTCAGCAGACCTCTGGATCCGTCCCCGGCGTCCTCGGCCGGGCCGCTGCCTCCTCCTCTCATCCCCCTGCCGAAGAGGAGGGCATCAGACTGTGAACCCGCCGAAGAGGAGGAGGGCAGGGAGGCGCCCACCTTACCTCAAGACCTGGGCACTAACATCAGCTTGGAGGTCGGGGAGCCGGAGGTGGCAGCTGAGGCCTACAACGAGATCGGAGGAACTCCGACAGAGGAAGAACAGGAAGATCTTGACGACGCAGAACTGGATGACCGAGGTTTAAATCTAACAATCTGCAAGCTGTTTCTGGTTCTTCGTCATCATTTCGGTTCATGTTTGCATCTGCAGTGTCGTCTCCTGAGCTGTCTTTAACGAGACTCCAGCAGTCGGAGGAGACGCAGGAGGAATTCGACTCATTGTTTGACTCGGTGGTCGAAGAGCAAATCCCGTCTCCCAAGGAGGAAGTTCCTCCTCCTCTGTCTGAAAATGACCTGGCTGTCTTCGATCCCTGCTATAAACAAGGTGGGTTCAACCACAGAATATAAACTGTTACTCCCTGCAGCCTTTACTTATCCTGGACATTGCCTTCCCACGCAGTTCTGCTTGATTCTCATCGCCCTTCACTGCTCTGCCTGAGATTTCTCTCATTAACCTGGATTTCTCCGGTAGAGTAACAAAGACTGAGAAAAACACTATCTGTGTTTCCATTGACCATAAATTGCACAATGTGAGATTTTAAATATAAATTATCTTAATGGAAACATGCAAATTTCGAAAAAAATAATTTCTCAACAAAAAGTTTTAGGATAAAGTGGTTTTAGGCTGAAATTGGTTTATTTAGCAAAACTGCATTGGAAATACTTTTTTCACATGATCAACAACTGGTGCAAACCACAAAGTAGAAGACGACAGGAAGTAGTTGGAAGATGATGGCACATCCTGTTTTTTTAAATACTTATTGTGTGAACAAACTTATTCATGTGTGACTTTATTTGTGTTTCTAATTTAGTGGAAACAGCAATTGCAAAATTGTGTTTGTTTTGTTGGCATTAGCTGAATATTGACAAAGTTTTGCTCACCTTTGTAATTGGAAATGCAGATATTGTTTCTAAGAAAACATGTGGAACCTTTGATAAAAGCCCTTTAGAATATTACAAGAAATCTACCTTCTTGAACACAAACTAAAAATAAATTAGAGATAATTCCAAACTTTGACAGGACTGTTTATGAAACTGCTTTCTTTTAAACCTTAAATTAAAAATCTGTTGTTTTTTCTCGTTCTGTTTCAGAAAGATCAGATTCCTCGAGTGATCACTCCGAACTGTTCTCGCTGCCGCCGGCCAGTCTGATTGGAGGAGACGCCAGTTACTTGAACCAGGCAGCCAATGAGCTGACGGCGGCCATGGAGCGGGAGAAGGAGGGAGAGTTCGGTTCTGCCATCCGTGGCTACCGGACAGCGGTGGACATACTCATCACTGGAGTGCAGGGTAACATGAGAGACCAGTCAAACCAGTTCATTTCCATCATGATTAGTTTCATCAAAGCTGTAAAGCATGCAAATTTTACACCAACTGCACCAAACTGTGCAAAAGAAACACAGTTCTGAGCTTTTTAAAGCTTTTTACACTTTTTTGTTCTTACGTTTGAGTTTCTACTGTTTCTAAAAACAGCCCAACTGCCTAAAAAAAACACTCCGCCATTTTTCTGGAATCTAACGTTACAAATCATCAAGCACTGCTCCGTTACCTAGCAACCCTAGCAGAGCTCCAGCACTTTTGGTCAGCAGGTTTTACCGCCGTATTCGCTGTACAATGGCTGCTGGAAAAGATAAATGCTTTGTTGTTGACTTACCATCCAGAAACCACGTGCTGCCTTCTTGTTGGTTGAGCAGGAAGCTCCACTTCTGCTTCTCAAAGTGTATAATTGTGCATCTGTTTGAAGCCATTTTCTCATTTTAGTGTAAACGGTGAGTTGGCCAGCAGTAGCTTATTTGAATTTAAAGTGACAAAATGCCTTCAGGCAGAGCTGACCTTGTTATTTAGTGAAATAAATTACCTTGTTGATGGTATTCCAGTTTATTGAGACAAATGTGTATTTTTGGTTTCAACTCTTGTGCACAGCTGACGGACACGGCCAGTTCTTCACAATAAACCGCATGTTGCATGGGGAGAACATGCAAACTCCATTCAAGACTGAGGCTCCAACTCAGGATTTTCTTGCTGCACAGGACCATGTAGCCTATGAGAGAATATATTAAGTGAAATGCTTACCTTGTATGTGTACAGTTAGTGCTTAATCAGCCTTTTTAGTGACTATTGTATTGATCCATGACTGGGCTGCTGGACCTTGTCCTTTCCCTTAAAGCGTCACTGAGTTGTCTGTGGTGCTAAATTTATAACAGCTTCTCTGCAGGTGTTGGTTTACATCAAGCTGGAGGTAAAAATGCTTCTTACTTAAAATAAAATATGTTTTGTTGCTCCTCTTGCTTATATAAATGAGTACGCTGTGTCTTTTTGGCTTATAGTAAGATACAAATCGAACTAAACAAAGGCGTTGTCTGCAACATTACAACATGCCACAACTCAACATTGAGTCATCTGCCCCTCCCCACTTCAGTGTAGTTTCTGACACTGATCCAGCAGCTAACACGGTAGCGTGGCCGAGCGGTCTAAGGCGCTGGATTAAGGCTCCAGTCTCTTCGGGGGCGTGGGTTCGAATCCCACCGCTGCCAGCAATCATTTTGTTTTTCCTTTTTCAGCTGAAATGTGACTTGAAAATAAATGTGAAAAGCTACAATCAGAGCACAGGAAGTGAAACTTGACGAGATTTTTTATGTGTTCATGTTCTGCAGGAGACCCAGATCCGGTTCGCAGGGAGTCTGTGATGAGGAGGACGGCCCAGTACCTGAAGCATGCCGAGATGCTGGTGGATCAGCACGCTTCGCCGGGTCACACGGCTGCTCACACACACACACAGGACCCGTAGACACACGCTTGACACACACAAAGACGACTGAAAGGCAACGTAAGCTCAGGTTCAAGGCTCATGAAGTGACTACAGGTTTGACAGCTAAAATAAGAATCCCAAACCAGTTTCCATTCCCAGTAACAAACCGTTTCTGGTACCTAATGCTCCAGTAATGACGCTCTGCGCACTGGGACCTCACAGACATCTAAACTACAAAACACAGACAAAGTCTTTAAGTTTATGGATGGAAATTTCCTCTGTTCTTTTTATATTGTTGATGTTTGTAATGTTAACATCCATGTGGCTTTGCATTTTGCACAATGTTTTGTTAATAAATCTGATTTTAATTTAATTCAGAAAAACGTTTCAATTTGATTCAAAAATTATTTTACTCTATTTATCCCACAAGGAAAAATAAATGTTGTCGTAACTAATTTTATCCAAGAATCTTCAAAGAGTTGTTGTGGGTGGTGATGATGTGGGAAGGAAGGATCTCCAGTAGCAGTCAGTCTTGCAACAAATCTGAAAAAGCCTCTGACTGAAGACAGTTACTGGGATGACAGCCGGTCTGCAGCGGCTGAATTTGAGCTGCTAACATGCTCAGATTATGTCAGCAAATTATGTATTTGTCCTGGATGACGTCATCCAGGACATGGTACTGATCCACCTCATTTGCTTTTGCTGCTTGTCGTATGGTTAGAAAGCCGGGCAGAAGGATGTTGGAGTAGGGGATGTGAGAAGATGGTTTGGTTTTCTCCTGCTCTGCATCCATGAAGCCTCCTCTTGAACTCCTCTGGGATTTTGAGGTCAAAGTTCAGGTATTATTTGAGCTTTTTGAGATGCTAATCAGGTGCTCCAAGTATTACAAACAAACAATACCCGTTTGTCATGGTTACGCACCATAATGTCAGTTGTGTTGTGACAGAAGAAAGTAAAAAACAAAGAGTAAAAGTTATTCCAGCTTCACAGCATCCAAAAAAAACAAAACATGAGGGAATATTTAGCCAAACATTCAGTGACTCAGAAAACTAAAATCAGAATGAAGGCAACAAAACTACAACAACCAGTCGTCGCTCAGGTGTTATCTGAGCTGTGAGATGCTAATCTGCTGCTGCAAGCTGTAAAAACGATACCGTTGTCAAAGTTACGTATCACAACTGTCTGAAGAAATGTGATCAAAAATCCTTTCGTTTCCGTTTTGTGTTCTGGAAAATCAAGTTTCCTGAACACAGGTTTTGCTAAAAACTGTCAACGATTTGCTAAAACGCTGCAGTTTAAACCTGACGCTTATGAAAAACATCAGGTTTTATTGTTGCTAAGCAAATGTTCGGTGTAGCTCCACAACAAAAATACAAAAACAGCACGATTTTGTGAATTTTAAATATAAAACATACAATTTTGTGCTTTTGATGATTTAAGCTAGAAGTGTCCAAACTTTTTTGGGCCAAAATCATTGAGTCAAGAGTAAAGAAAATTAAAAGAAACTGAAATCAAGCAAATAAAATAGTTGGTTTGATTGTTTTTTTTTCTTAGTTGATGCAAAACTTAAAAATAATTTTGTACGTTTGTTAAATTATTTAAGAAAAACACCTAGTTTTTAAATTATTTTGGGCTCGACTAAACAAATTCATTTTCTGCTATAATAACAAGATTTGAGTCAAAAAGTTTTCAATATTTAGTCAAGTTTAATACATTAAACAGAAGCTGATTTGAAAAGGGAATCCCACTGATAAAGTCTGGTTTTTTTCTTTTCTTTTTATTTTTACAAATATGCTCATTTCATCTTTTACTTTGTAGACCTGGCGCATTTTGGTTTTGATCATCGGATTACATTTTTACATCTAAAGCTTTTAAATCTACGTGAGACGTCACGTAGATTTGTTGTAGTACCTATTAAATTCCTGTGAGAGTCGCTGTTGCTCATTTTAAGGTTAAAACGCGCCCTGGACTGGAGAAACAGATGAAAGAAGAAAACAGCTGCTGGTTTTTAATAATAAACATGCGGCTTGCTGTAGTTAATCTACTTCACATAATCATGATTGTTTGAACTTTCTACGTTTGGTTAAAGAATTTAAAATGTCTTAAATTTGATTTTAAAAGATAGTCAGCCTTAATATTGTCACCTTACTTGAATAGTGAGCTAAGTAATTTTTTGCTAAAAGATGTGCTGGAGCTATTTATTCTTTATTTTTATCAATTTGAATTTTGTTGACAGTTTATTCTTAGTTTACTTTATATTTTTTGTATTACTTAGAGTTTATTTGTAGGTTAATAATTGGTGATTTTATTAATTTTTTGTTTTTCTTTCACAGAAAAAACTGTGGGTCCATTTTCTATAAGTGAAGGGACTGGTATAGGACCAGCATGCACTGGGTTTGGAGAGGCAGCAGTTTGATTTTGTTATTTGGTTACCAACTTTAAACCATAAAGAGCAACAATCAAGTTTTGGACATTGGATTTCTTTTGGCTGCCAAATCCGGCCCAACATAGGTTTTTATGTGGCCCTCTTGTAGACAAAACACTAAATGTGCTTAAATATGTTATTAATCAAATCAGTGCAGCTTTTATCTGTTTACTGCTAAATTATATCAATCAGTCCCTCCAGTTTCTTGAGAATTATCGTGGAAATTCATGCAAAATCAACAAATTCTTGCACTTTTTTGTGCTAACAATTGGGATTTTATTGCAGTCAAAAAATTTAAAAAAACTTTCTTTCTTGTACTAAACAGCTGCCTCAGCTTTAACTGATGTCAGATTATAGTCCATGATCTCCACAGCGAGTAATGAAAAGTCAGATTTACTGTCATAAATAAGTGCAAATATTTCCAAATTAGTACCATAAACATTTTGATTTTTATTGCAAAAAAAATCACAAATCAATTGTAAATTGATTTTATAATAATTTAATAATTTTATTTTAACAGTTTGTGAATAGGTTTTATTAATACATTCTGGCACAACCGGCCAGAATGATCTTGATTTGGCACCAAAACAAAAATGAGTTTGATGGAAGAAGTTTGTACATTTCTGTGAAGATAAAAGTCTTAAATTTAATTCACAATAGTCTTAAAAAGTCTTAAATATGATTTGCTGAAACCTTCAGAAGCTATTCTAAAGACCTTTAGCTGTTACTTCATAGAAAATATCAAGGGTAAGTGCAAATTTATCACCAGTTAGACACAGTTCATACATTTCTTTGGAGATAAAGGTCTTAAATTTCTTTCATAATGGTCTTAAAAAGTCTTAATTTTTTGTTGCTGAAACCTTTAGAAACCCTGCTAACGACCTGTAGCTGTAACTTCAACTCATTAGGGAACACTAATGCACAGCAAACACCTAAGAGAGATAATCAAACGCATTTTTTTTTGCATAAAAGTAAGTAGTTTTTTCAGTAGTTTCAGCATGGATGGAAAGTTATTGGTTTGGCATCAAAGAGAGGAGAGAGAGAGGATGGGATGCAGAAAAGAGAAAGCAAACGGCAGAATCCCTTCTCTGGAGAGACGGGGGATGAAAGGAGGGCTGGAAACAGATGGAGGGGTGACCATTTCCCCAACCAGATGAGAAAACGAGGGGTCATGGAGAAAGAGAGACAACAAACGCTGGAGGAGAGGAAAAATCGAAGGGATGAGATTAGAGGATAAGCAGAGATGATCCTTCTATTGTTAACGGGGTGGAAAAAAGCAGACCATCCCTCTTCCTCCCTCCGTCTCTCTCTTTGGCTTTGTTTTGACCACTGTGGGGTGCTTGAAGAGGATGGAGGGATGGCAGCGAAAGAGCGATAACGCTGCTACATCCTGTTATACATCCCTCTTTCTCTCTACCTTTCAATCCATCTCCCCTTCCCTCGTTCTGGTGCTCCACCTGTGAAATGCAGAAAGAGACAGAAACAAAGAGACGGAGGTGAGGAGGGAGGGGGGCTAACAGCCGCGCAACATTAGCATGCTGAGAGTGTCAGCACGCTCCTCTCTTTTCTATCATCCCTCTTTCCATCCCTCCTCCCTCTGTCTCTTTCTCCTCACTGGTCACTGCAATTATACCATCCAAACACTCCAGCCTGAGAGCATAATGGCTTTCCTCCACGTGTGTGTGTGTTTGTGTGTGTGAGATCAAAAGACACAGATGTGTATATCAGTGCATAATTTAGAGCCACACGTGACACATTAAGTGTGACACAGAAGGGGCGGCTGTGGGTGTGCAGGAGAAAAACGAGCATATGTGGGTGCGGATGAGGGTGTGTGAGTCCTCACGGCTACAAAAACTGCTTCTCCAACCTCTGAACCGAGCCCGCTCTCCAACGGGCTCCGGCGAACCCGCTTCACACACACACACACACACACACACACACACACACACACACTCACTCTCTCGCTTGGACCGTTATGACCTAAATGGCCACTGGGTTGAGGCAAACAGCACACCTGCTTTCGCTCTGTTTTTGTTTTCATTCCATCAACTTCTTCTTCTCCCCTCTCAACCCATCCTCCTTGTTTTTATTCCACCACACACACACACACACACACACACACACACGCACGCACACACACACACACACACACACACACCCCTCCTCTGTGAGCTTGTTATCCCTCCCCGTCCAGTCGTTTCTCTCTCTGTCACCTTGCCCCCAGCTATTCCAGCACACTTTTGTCTCCCCCCGCCTCATCTCTCGCTCTCACACACTCACATAAAACACACTCGCTGTCTATTTTCTGTCAGCCCAGGGCTCTGTGGCGGCCTGACTCTCTCCTACAGACAGGCTTGACATTTGTTTTCCGCCTCCCGGGGTCTGTTTGGTTGTTGCTGTGGGGCTTGATGTTGATTTAAGACTATTACTATCTGAAGTATTTCATTAATATAAAAAACAGACTGAAAATGCTAATAAACAAGATGCTGGCTGGAGGTGTAAAGAACAGTGAAACGACATTTCTCCCGAGTAGCGTGGAAACTCTAGACTACACTTTGCAAATGTAAATCTGATTAAACTACGGGTTCATTCACACCAACCCCATTTAAGCAAACTCTAGTTCGTTCGTCTAGATCAGAGGTGTCCAAAGTCGGTCCTTGAGGGCCGGCATCCTGCATGTTTTAGTTCTCTCCCTGGTTTTACACACCTGCATCAAATGATGGCTCATCAGAAGGTCTAAGCAGAACACTGACTTGCTGAGGAGGTTGTTAGGGAGAGAACTAAAACATGCAGGATGCCGGCCCTCGAGGACCCACTTTGGACACCCCTGGTCTAGAAAGTCAGTTTCGTTTGAAGACTAAAAAAAGCTAAACCTGGTCACCTACAAACCCCAGTTTCGGTTTGGTTGACGTGAACTCTGCTGCCGTTTGAATGCGTTCAAACGCCAAGCGGACCGGAGACCGCGCCAGAACCAGGAAGTGGACTACAGCGCAGGGCATTCTGGGTAAATACAACCTAAACCAGGGGTCACCAACTCCAGTCCTCAAGGGCTACCATCCTGCAACTTTTAGGGCTACCACCTCTGCTCCAAAATGTCTGAATTCCCTCACCAGCATTCATTCCTCTCTGCAATAGGCTGGAAACGAGCAGTTTATTTGATCCAGGTGTGTCTGAGCAGAGACGCATCTAAAAGTTACAGGATGGTAGCCCTGGAGGACTGGAGTTGGTGACCCCTGACCTAAACAAACGCGCTAAAATATCGCTAGTGGGGAACATGGCTCATGTTCTTTTGCCAAAATAAAATCCGACGCTAATCCATTTTTTTTTTGGACATTTCGCAAAGAAGGAAGTTGAACGCCTGTCTTCTTCAGGCGTTTTCATGTCGTTTCCTTCAGTGGTTCTTGGTGCAGCGCCACCACAGGCGAGGAGGGGAACAGGTTCCTCAAAGGGTTTGGTTAGTTTGACACAGTGCAGAGTGAAAGTGGACCAACATCAGCTGAAAATTTTACAAATGTTGCAACGTTGGTCCCCAATCAAACCGAGTCTTCTCGACTGTCAGGTGGGAAAATACCATAAAACTAAAACTAATTTGTTTGGCCATAATGGCAGTTGTTACATTAGGAAGAAAAGGGGGGAAGATCAGAACTGTGAAATAAAGTGGTGGGAGTGTCATATCTTGTGGCTGTTTTCCTAGAGAAAAGAAATATGTTGAGCTCACTGAGGCTAGTTGGGTTCTTTAAAGAAGATAGCCCACAAATAAAGGACAGAATATAAAGGATTGACTTACTTGGATTTTTAGGCCCAGTCTAAACTCTAAAAACAATTATTTAAAATTTTCTCTACATATGTAACATGTTCATTAAAGTATAATTTTTGCACATAGAACCAACATGGAGGGATTAAGAGCAACATTTTTCTCCGAAGCCACTGGTTGCAGATCTCTCTCCTGAACTCCCATCAACACTGGTTTTGTAAGTGAATAATTAGACGGGCACACAGAGGGTGATTGACAGCGCTAAGACCCGCCTCCTGGCTCTGATTGGTTAGGACTGGGAGACGGCAAAGGAGCTCAGTTCTTACAACATAGTGACAGTTTCCACAGATATTTAAAAAAGAATTTAAAAAAATTACATACTGCAGCTTTAAGGTGAATCTTTCAAACATTAGAAAATGTAACTGTCAGGCATGGTGACAGTTACAACCCAACTACACAGATTTGGGTGAAATGATCAACTTTGAACAAAATTGGGTGTTTTAACTGGACAACAACACACAAAGTTACATTGAATATTTGTTAAAAACTGCTTTCCATACCAGGAACCCAATCGATTTAAAAAACTCCGACAATACCGGTAAGATTGGACATATATTCAGGCAGAAGCTTGTTGGTTCCTCTAACAGTAATCATCATAACTGTCATCTCTTCCTGCTGTTTGTCTCGCTCCCTCCTCCCCTCACATATTAGTAAATCAATAAACATACACTTTATGCCATTTATTGATCCGTTCACCCCCTCCCTTTGTGTCCACTTTACTCTCTATTTTCTCACTCCATGAATATAAAATCTCGTTTCTCCGCCTGTCTCTTTCACTCCCTCTGCCTGTCAGCCCCTTTCTCTTTATATCTCTCGCTGTGGGATATCCTATTTATATGGCTGGCACCTCCATGCCTCCACTGAAGTGTGTGTGTGTGTGTGTGTGTGTGTGTGTGTGTGTGTGTGTGTGTGTGTGTGAGTGTTTGATGTTAGTCTGAGTGGTTAACATAATACAAGTCCTCAGAGAGATGATGATGATGATGCTCAGGCACTCAAACACACACAGATACATAATTTTAGGCCTTTTTTGGTCAGCCTTTCTGTGAACAATTTGAGCTTTTTTTTTTGCATCCTCCAAGCTGCGCCGCAGTTATTATCTGTCGCATTCTCCCACTGTCCACACGGACACGCACCTTTGTTCCCCGACCTGCTTCCCAGAATGATAAAACCCAGCATTATCTTTTGTTATTCATTATCGCAGATGGAGCCATCATTTCGCATCCGTCCTCCTCCCTCTGCATATGTTTATATTTATTCAAACCTCTTACTCTCTCTCTTTTTTTTCCATGCCCGTCTCCTCCTCTTTGCATATTTATTCAGGCACATCTCCCTCTCTGTTTTTTTCCCCTCTCCCCACTTTCTGTACCCATGTGTCCAGCTTTTGTTGGCTGCCTTGTTTCCATAACAACTTGCGACCTTTCACTCGGTGCATAACCATTTTTAATCAGAAGTAGAGAGAGAGAGAGAGGGGGTGGATTTGAAAGGGTAACATTACTCAGGTGATGCGCTGAAACTGGTGAGAAAAACAAACGGAAGAGAGCGACTGAAACGAGGAACGAGAAGTGGCCTTGGCTCAGTCTGAAACCAGAAGAGTTTGGTTTTGAGTTTACTGCATTGTAACTAGTTACATTTACTTTGTTGAAAGAATGTACTTTTAGGAGTATTTTTACGATGCTCTACTTATTTTTACGTTTACTTGAATAATTTAATTATGAAGTAGTTCTACTCTGGAGTAAAATTTCTTTCAGTGGATTTTCTACCCACTGAATAAA